ATTTAGTATTTAATTTAGTAATCAGATACTAAGTTTAATTCTTAATGTTTTATTTTATATATTATTTTATTTTGTTTTATTTTATGAGTCTTTGAATCATTTGTTCAAAACACTGATTGATTCAATAAAAAACATGTCTTTATGAATGAGTCGTTGAATCATTTACTCAACTGATTAGATTCACAAATGAAACATATAATATATATACTTAATAATTAATTTAATTTAATTAATTTGCTGTTCACACATAATTTGCCAGTTACTTTGTCTATTTTTGATTCGCCTGTGAAAATCGTTCCAAACAAAGCCACTGCAGTTAATAGTTGTACGTTTCCAAACAATACACATCAGTGCAGAACAGATTATTCATTGTTTTAGAACAAATCGGTTAATTGAGTGATTCAATGACATTCATAAAGACGTTTCACTCCTCACTTTAGGAGCAACTAATCGGTTGAGTAAATGCTACAATGACTCATTCATAAAGATGCGTTTCGTTCCTGAATGATTTGGTGTCTTGAACAAATGAATTATTCAAAGACTCAAAAACACCTACTGGCATAACTTGCAGACTGACCGTCTGAATGGAACGTGCACAGACAACACAGTGGAGTGATGAAAATACTGCAAAGTCCCACTGCTGTTTGTACTCATCAGGAACTGTTGTATAGATTGAAATAAATTAATCAACTGATTGTTATTTTTGATTTTTACTTTCTGTGTTTCTGATTAACAGAAAACAGGCCTCTCCTCCCAGCTCACCAATGATCAAATCGGAAAAGCGTTGCTTACCTGCCTGCTTTCGGCGCAGACGTAGTAACAATATCAAAAGAGTGAGTTAAGCATCCAGCATCTCCAAAACCTCCCAACAACTTCAGCCCTGTGGGAGTTTACTAACTATTGGAGCCAGTCCTTACTCTACACAGAAGAGTTAAAGTGAGGGACCAAGACATCGCTCTACAATCTTGTTGAATTCTTTTGTTGGGAGGATTTAACATGCAACCAATCTGGTTTGAATTGGAAAGAAGCAGATCTTTAGATGTCCTGAGTGCTGGAACTCTACATATCTTACTGCTCATAATGACACAGAGGAGTTTTTTTTTTCTTGGGACTATAGTTTGGACTCAAATTGTGAAATCTATGAAATTCTAGTAGGGACAAACAGTTTTGTGTGCTTCTGTCTGTAATTAAACCAGTGGAAAGTCCTCATCAGGTTGGAAATACGACACAGCTATTTGTTTGTTTATTTATTCATCTGTTTGTTTGTTTCTGTGTGGGACGGGGGGGGGGGG